CGGGGGGGGGGAGCCAAGCCCAAGTATTTATGTCATGATGCCCCATTACTCCTAAATATGGGGGCGGGGGGCAGGGAAGGATATGAGAATGATGGATGGATCAAATCTTGTCAACCCTATAGCTGGGGAATCTGAACAAAGAGGGTACGAGAATTCCCTGTATTTCTTCCAACCATTTTATAGGTGCTAAGGTTTAAAAGAAAAAAAAAAAAACCCTACTAAAGGTACCACAAACCTCACAGATGTGGTTTTTAGGGACAGCATATGAAGATAGAGCAAACTCTCCAACGACAATGGAAAAACCTGAGGGAGATAGACTGCCCGGCAGACAGGCAGGAAGGCATTCAAGACAGGGAGAGACCACTCTGTACAAAGGCAGAGTTCTAAACGGGCACAGTGCGCTGAGCCAACAGGCAGAACCTGGTGTGGCTAGTTTCCCAGGGGTGGGAAACGGCAGGGGGAAGACCTGTGAAGGGCTGTGAAAGCCAAACCTAAAAGTCTGGACCTAATTCCCCATGCAGGACTCATGAGTGGTGGGGTGACTATACTATAATGGGGCAGCAGAGGGTGGTGGGGAGGAGAGAGAGAGAGAGGAGGAGGGAAAACAGGGAGGAGAAAAGAATAGAAAGCTAAACCAAATACCCACATACAGGTCAAACTCACAGCAACCAAAACTCTCCACAACACAGCACCACACTTGAAACAGGTGTCAAAACAAATGTATAAAGGATTCTAAACTCGGAAATTGCTGCCACAAATCTCCCACATGACCACTAGGTAATGAATCCAACTAGGTGCAGAGCACTATCGTCAGCTTCATATACTAATTCCCACACCCCCGTTAGGTGAATTTACACTGCTGCCATTTCACAGATGGGACACTAAGACAGATTAGATAATTTGCTTGATGGCAAATAAATCCCAGAGCCATGGTTCAAATTTAGCTTTCTCTGACTCCTCTACCATGACACTATTTTAATTTTGCATGTTTTATTTCTTAAGAACTGGTTCAAAAACTCTTCTCTTATACAAGTCTTAACTTTGGATTTCTCATTTCTCCACTTACATACATTTACAAATACCCGATAAAAGGAAGATACAGCAAAATAAACTGCTGTTAATCAATGTCAAAGAAAAAATAAAAATAGACACAAAACTTTATAACCATAAAATACAGTAATGGACAATAAAAATGATCTTGAATTATCCAGAAAAGGTTAAAGGGTGTTCCAAGTTTCCTTTTAGGAAAACATGCCTGCCATATACCAGAAAAAAAGAAACAATGTGTTTACGATAGTAGCTGGCACACAGTTAACACTACATAAATGTCTGTTAAATAAAAATCTTGTGTCATGCTTTTTAAATTTAGGTGCTGGGACTGCAGGACTTTATGGGTATACTTTTAGACACCCATATGCTCTTTAAAGAAAATGGGTGGGAGATTATTTTAATACTGATCACTAAAAATTAATGCAAATCATTTGCATATTTTTGAATTATTTGCATAACAACCTGTTAACCAAATACTGCTGGGAGATTTCAGTGGAAAGATTCCCTTGAAAAGAGGACTAAGGTAAACAGGGTAGAGATGGATTTAATGCCAAAATTAAACTTTTGGGACAAATGTAGCTCAGACAGCTGCTGGACAGAAGGTTTTACAGTAGCTTGAATGAGAAAAGGTGGTGAGGGAAATCATCACAGGCACATGGCAGCATAGGCCTGAGGATCCCAACAGAGCCACAGCACCTGCTATGACAGCCAGGCTGTGGGCAAGAACTGGGCACAGCCACAACCCAGCCATCACACTGAATCAATGCTAGTAACTTCAGTGTCCCTGGGTTTGAAGTTTTGTGTGCCATTTCTTCTGTAAATTTGTCTTAGTTTTACAGTTTAAAACAATGTTTACACCTGTTTTTAGGCTTGTACTTGTTAAAGAACCATGGCAGTAAAAAAAATTTTAATAGCAGAATAATTTTTTCCTATACAATAGTCAAATTTGAGGAACGTTGTTTTAGCTTATTTTAATCATTTGTGCCCTATATTCCCAACAAACAACTACTGTTCCAGATTTCATACACATTTCAGACAGTAAAGTTTTTATTTATTTCAATATGGAACCAAATAAAAAACTATATTCACTGGGGAGAAAGGTTGCTCTGGTACCCAGAAGTCTTACTATCATGAAGACTGAGGACGCTAAAATTCACTAGTCTCCATCTTCAGTCAAGACACCACATTGAATATGAATCCCCTATCTGTAATTTGTTTCATTTTGAGGATCAATCTATAAAGATAGGAGTGAAGATCCTATGGGAATAAAATTCTATTTTAACATACTTTTTTGGTGAATAGTCACCTCTATAGTATTCAATCACATTTTCCCAGAACTGAATGTTACAATGAAAGCCAGCTCTCTCTCCCTCCCTCTCCATATACGTAAATATGACCTATCTGCATATCTTCCCTCTAATATTTCCTTGATTATGAAGTTATAGGCAAAAACACACCAATAGATCTGGACAGCAAATCTAGCCTCAAGCTAGATTATTGTAATCATCAAACTCTGCATTGCTAAAACAAATCCAGAAATAAAATGAACAGAATCAAGAGCATTTAACCAAGAACTGTGTACACAATGAAAGAGTGAAGAAATGCAGGAAGGAACTAATGTTTACAGAACCCTCAATGGCCTAACATGGACTGTGTACTACACATTTAAAATACATCATCTCACTTTATCCTCAAACAAACCCTGGTACAAAAGATGACCCTCACTTTACAGGAGAAACAGGGTAAGTATGGCCCAGGTCGCACAGCTGGTGGGTGGTAGGATTCTGACTGGCTCCCTCCTCTTTTGCTAAGCTGCCCCTATTGCAGGCTGGCAGTAACTGTCTATTGAAGAGCCATTTCATTATTAAAGACTTCACAAAGCAAAAATTGATAAACTTAAGAGCAAGATTAAGGCAAAAATTAAATTTAATAATCAAGGACTTATACTGGCTGTGAAGTTAAATTCAGTAACCAGTGTATTAAGTTGACTTCATCTTACACTGAATTACTAGAAATGTGTATTGTATAGGAAGGAAACACTAGAAAAACTTAAAAGATGACAGGGTTTTGTTTTATTTTTACAGTTTTCTTAGAACTTAGTTGTTAAAATCATCTTTTAAAAAAAGAACAAAATAAATAAATACTCGCTCACTTGATGAAAGAGCATAAATAATAGATGACATTTTTGGACAGAGACTTTACCTGGAATGAACATAAAGGTTTGGCTGAGCTGTACTTCCTAGAGCATCAAAATTGGCATAAATGCATAACTTTTCCTATCTTAAATTTTATTCACTAGAACAACTACCTCCTCTAAATTACTAATAAAGTAGTGGAGTAAAAATCAAAAGTCAGTATGACTTACTTTGGTTCTCCTATCTTGATGCCAGGGTGCTGTGTGTAGGCATGGGAATGTGTACTTGGGGCAGACTTAAACGCCATTGGACAAATAGGACACTTGTAGAAGACTTCACAGTGAGAACCTTGAATGTGAGACTTCAGTGCAGCCACATCAGAGTACACAACATTGCAATGTACACATCTGTTAGAAAAATAAACACATGGTCGTTAGCACAAGACCATTAAACATGTGGAACTTAACTGTGTAAAAACTGGATAAAATGAACATATGTTAATAGCCATTTTAGGTTTCCAATGGCTTTTGGAAGTGTGTTTTGTTTTTTTCTATCTATAACAGATCAAATTATTTGTATATGTTTAAGAGGGAAGATCATGAAGAAGAAAATAAAACTCAAGTGCTCCACCTTTGGAACATCTGTAGAGTTTCTAGGAATGGATGTCCAGACCCCAGACTACAATCAAACAATAACTCATGGGGACCATGCCAAGAACAGGAAACAGCAAGAGCCCAGCACTCCTGGCTTTGGAGAAGATTTCCACATGCTGGGCTCTGACAGCAGGACCCTGTGGTTCCTGCCCACACCCAATTCCCACATGGCATCTCCAGTGGAAGAAACCCACGCTGGCTCAACCTACATGCCCCCAGCAAAGGGGCAAAGGGAGCAAATGAGCACCGGCTCTAAGACCAGGCCACCCTCTGACATGGCCAGTGGCAATGGAGGTTGTGGTGGCCCATACAGTAGAGAAGGCCATCCACTTAGGTTTTTTGTCTCCTGGAAAATAAATTTAAGTATTTGTTTAAGAAATTACATGAATTATAAATTTCTGAAAAATCAGCATGTCTAAAAAAACTGCCTCCCTAGCTAACCACCTTATTTTTTGAAATTCTAATAATTTGGCAATTGGCTCATTCCTTGCTCAAATTTAATCCTACAAGGAACAAATTTTAAAACTAAGGTACATTTCTCCATTACCTCATCTTTTTCACACAAGGACTCTCAGCAAATAATACCTTCATTTGATGACCGAGTCTTCAACATCTGAAAACTATTTAAGACTCTTGAGAGTCTCCAGAGAGACATGTAATTATAACTGACCATATGTGTTCCTGGGTGTGTGTGTGTGTGTTACCTGGGGAAGGAAGACTGTAGGGTAGGGTGTGCCTTCCAGGAGGCAGTGCCCAATGACTTCTACGATAATCTAAGATACTTCCATTCTTAGAACCACCCTTCCCAATCATGGAGATGCTCCCAAAGTCATCCAGGAGTGGCATGTTCCAAATTGTTTATGTTCTATAAAGTGTGCCATGTTAACGTTGGCAAGCATTTTTTAAAAATCATAATAATAACAAATCATAATTAAGGCATTAGCCTTTTCAATGTCTTAAGGCATAATGTTCAGCAACATATACATTAAAAATGCTAAGCAGCAACAGGAGAACAAAAGGAAAGCTTCTCTATCCTATCTACTTGAAATTATTTTGGGTTAAAACTTGCTGTGTTGTCTTGAACACGTTAATGCTCCTCTCTGGGCTGGTTACTCATTTGTAAACTGAGAAGAGTCGGAATAGATAATTTTTAGTCTCTTACAACCCCAGAAGCCTAAGACTCCAATGAAAAGGGAAAACTATGTAAAACAAAAGTATATGGGTTACTAATGACACCAAAGGATCCGCTGTGCCACAAACCATGAGCAAAAGATTTTCCCATTACGGGTGGAAAGATGGTGCTCCAAGGCAGAGACAAAGGGAAGACAACAAAGAATAAACAGAAAAGCACAAATTCCTGAAGTCACTTGGAGTGAGAGGACCGTTTAATCTACAGAAAGAAGGAAGTCAGAGCATCTAAACTAATGCTGGAATTTTTTTTGAGGCAGGAGCAAGAGGTTATGACTCAGTCCAAGGAGTGCCATGGAGGTCAAGGGAAAAACCCTCCTTAACATGAAGGGGAAAAGCAGAGCATTTAAAAAGAACTTAAGAAAAGAAAAAATTGTAAAACATGTACCTACTGGTGAAAGAAAACGTTCAGGGGCAACAGAGACCAATAGGGAAGGGAAGTAAGACAGGTAAAGGGAAGGCAGAATTTGAAAGGCTCCTACAATATCTTCATGCTATTAAAAATCCAGTCGATTAAGAAATATTGGATAGACCTAAAGTCTTTGTGTTCTGGGTACCAATCAAGTTTATTTTTGGAATATTTTTTAAATGTTTACAGTATACAATCCTATAGTAATTTACCTTTCTAAATGCAGATCCGGTGTTATCAAGAGGCAGGAAAATTCAAAGAAATATTTGACTTTTACACCAAGTTAACCGGGAGCTAGGGATGACCCCTCAATATCTGGGAGTTTCAATACGAGCAATGAGAGAGAACGAGGCACACTGTATCAAGAAGAGACAAAGCAAGGCACGGGAGCCTGCTAGAGAAACTTCATTAGGTAAAGAAAAGCAAATTGAAAATGGTTAACTAGAGAGCCAAAAGGGAGAGAAAAACACGACGAGGCCAAGGGGCTGCTAAGCCCCAGTCAAACATTAGAGTGGACCATTATTTGAAACAGCAGGAAAAACAATAAAGTTAAAAAAACTTTTTCTCCTAAAGAAGAAATGTGAACTAAACTTCAAAATAGACATACATAGTATTTTTACAGTTTATATAGCCACAAATGGGGGGGGATCTATCCCTAACATAAAAATTTCAGTGGAAATCTGAAATCTACATCTCCAAGTAACAAAATTGAAGCAACTCTGTGAATCAGGCAATAGAAAAGTAACAAGGATGACCTTTTCCAAGTGAGTTGATTACTTTCAGCCTGCATGCAGAGCTTCTGTTTTAATTTAGGAAAGATACCAGGAATAGCTAAAATTGCAGAAGTCTTACTCCTTTTTATTCATTCCAACTAAGTTTATTTTCATTATATTAGAAAAATAAACTAAACATCTAAGGAAAGTCTGGCATCAGTGAAAAGAACAGCACTTGGAAAATGTTGCAGAGCTGCTTTCTATTATTAAATGTAGAATCCACTAATGATAGTTCCAAAATATGCGATAAGAACCAAAGTATTATTCTGCATGAACTCTGTGGATCTAGGGGAACTTCAATTATCCTGTTTCACTCTATAACATGCCAATGGAACTGGAGGCAGGCAAGGCACCGATTTTAAAGATAGGCGTGCCACAGCACAGAGAGAACACATGAATTAAAACACAATTAGTTACTGGCAGAATTGGTACAAAAGACTCTGGTTTCTTGATTGCCAAACCGAAGGCTTTCTACCAGGCTAGTGCCCAATCCATAAAACATTTGTGCATCATAGGTCTGGAGGCATGGGATCAAACTGTGAAGTAAGTCTCATATCTTAGTGTTAGAAAAATGGACAGAGCCACCAAGTAACCAATCATACCATAACCTAAATTTAAATGGAATAAGACCATCAAATCATACCAACTAGACTTCATTTTTATAAAATATCATAACTGTTATTACAACTAAAAATATACAGTAATATCTCTGTTAACAAAGACACTTTGTATTGATGACATGTTTTCTTGGGGGATCTTCATCAGGTCAAAATATAAAAGGCCCAGGAATGCATTTCAGAAGGACACAGAGTGGAAAATAAAGTTCAAGTATATAATGACTCCACACTAGCTAAACTAACATTTGATTTGACAGATGTTGTAAATACTATCTGGGAATCTTTCAGGGAATCTGAAAGAGGCCACAGTTAAGACGTGTGGAGGAGATGAGGGAGAAACCTGGATTCAGGGGATGGAGGAGGAGGAAGAAGGCTTATTTGGAGTGGAAAGCACTTCCAAAAAGAGCAGTGTTAGAAAAGGACATACACCTGACCCTTCAATGTGAACAAGATAGAAATAATAGACAATCGCACCATTTCTGTTTTCATAAGAGGCGGGGAAATATTAAGAGGTACAGAAATGCATGGTATTCTTGCAGGGCTTAAAATGCAGAATATGACAACGGAAGTCTGCTAAAAAGTGTGCAGAAAGAAAAAGCTGTGACAGTCAAAGCCAAACCTCCGTATACGCACAATTTTGCCTAGAAGGATGGGCCCCATTTACCTTCAGCTGTGTGTGGAGCAGCAGGGCCAATATTACGTTAAAAGGATTCAAACAGATCAATGCTACTTCAAGAGCTAGTTTCCAGAGGATCTGTTAATTGAGGTACCACTGTATGACCCTAAAAACAATGTGCGCAGACCACTTAAAATGCTGCGTAGTTATAAGTGAACGAGCTTTACTTGCACATAAGTGAACGATATACTGACCGAAAACCAACTCTCCGTGTGTAGTGCAGACAGTTCTTGGTGACGTGGGTCTGGAAGTGCACCGACCTGCAGATGGCCCCACACTCAGGGCAGGTGTAGGGAGATTTGTGCTGATGGATTCTCTGGTGTGATGCATAACTGCACTGGTTAGGAAGCAGCATCTGGCAGATAGTGCAAGTCTTCTAAATAAACCAAAGGGGGAAACAGGGTTGGTCCTACTAAGTATTTTCTAATATGCAAAGAACCTTGGTTAAACCTCAAAATAAGTATATATCCCTCATTTCAAATACGACTGTAATTGATTCTAAGCCCAAGGGAAAAGCAAACATGGAAGTTACAAGTTCAATGTAATATTCTTTTCTCTGTAAAATAAAAATAATATGTACTATGTAGTCAGGCTCACCCCAAAGGATGAGCTGAAAATGTCAACTTTAGATAGAGTTCCAATTTTGTTACCTTTGCATTTTGTTTAGTGCAAAGAAAAGGTATTAGAAGAGGTATTCTTGCAAATTAGGCTAGCAAATCAACTTTAATATTTATCAAGAAATTTATGAACATATGTATCTTAAACATATGTAGTCACAGTTCCTACAATTCATAAAAAACTTTCTTCAAAATAATGAAAATTAATTAGAGGCTAATCCAGTCCCCACCCTCCCCACATCACTTCAGTTATTTAAAATCTGAAATACAGGAATACAAAAGAATGGCCACAGCAACTGTTGTTCTTTTTGCACTTAAATTGGCCTTTAAATGCACTAGCCATAACATGATTTATAATTAAAACTAATGAACTCAAACTCAGATACATAAATTTAGACATTAAATTGAAATTTTATAGAGTTTAAAATCTGATTACGTATAAAATAAAGACTGAAGTCCTCTTTGGAAGAGGGTCTATATCATTATGTACCCAAGCAAAATCAAAACACTATTTTTCATCACCCTAGATGTAAGCATTAAATGTGGTATATTTTTACAACACAAAACCAAAAAAAATAAAAGCAAATATAAATTGAGGGCTTATTACTTCTACCCCCAAAATAAACCTAACAATATAGCATATGAGATAAAATGTGTTTGAATATGTGTCAGATATTCATGACCCTAGATGTAAGCATTAAATGTGGTATATTTTTACAACACAAAACCAAAAAAAATAAAAGTAAATATAAATTGAGGGCTTATTATTTCTACCCCCAAAATAAACCTAACAATATAGCATATGAGATAAAATGTGTTTGAATATGTGTCAGATATTCATACAAAAACAAGTACCTACTATTTTCTAAAATGTACAATTTGTTTTAAAGTAAAGAAAGCCTCAAAATAAAAATTCTTGCTAAAATTTAAAACATTCTTTTATATTAAGAAGAGAGTTACAAAGTTTTAAAAAGAATTTTTATTCTTCTACCTTTTTAAAAAAGCCCCCAAATTAAGGTTTAAACATCCGAGTGACTTAGACTAAGAAAAATAGAAAACTCACTTGAAAATTCTTCCCTGGTTTTCTCCTGAAAGGACTAAAATACAAGTTTTATCCCATATAATGTTTATTGTAATCACAAAATCAAAACATTACAGGCAGTTTTGATGAGGTTAATGTCATTAAAAAACAGCATTCCTTTTCTAATAACACGTTTCAGAGGTTAAAATAAGCCGCAAGGAAAACCTATCAACAGATTCATTATCACAAGATCCTGTTAACATCTACATTATCACAGGTAATCATCTGTTTCTTTAAACTAAAATCTTCTACCTTCACACATTCATTAATCCCAGACAGTGAATTATAATGTGTGAATTTCCACAGGCATCTTAAAATGTCTTGCACTTATTTGGGGATAAAATTATTATCTTCTATATTAAAAGTCAAAAAATATTATATATACACACATAAATACACACATATATACACACACATATATATACATAATGTATATATATAATATATATGTAAATGGTGGATTGGCCCCATTCCACCATGAGCCAAGTAGTCAGCTAGTTACTTTAAATACATTAAATAAATTTAAATACATCATCTCACTTAATTCTCATAGTAATCTATGAAGTTAACATCTCCATTTTACAGATGAGGAAATGAGGCTTCTCAAAGCAACTTGCTCAACCCCCCCATCACCCCCCAAACTATTAAGTGGAAGAACCAGGACCTGAAGTGGTTCTGAATAATTCTTAGGCCTCTGATGAAGGCTAGTGAGGAATGGGGTGGGGTTATAAAGAATGAACAAACAAAAATACACAGGGGAGACATCATTAGCAAATACACCTGAATACCAATGATGACCACGTTATGTTAGGATTCGAGGTGAGTTCCCCTTCCCTCCACAGCTTCTCTTTTATCTAAAATGTGATTATATGAGGGTATTTCAAAAAGTTCAGGAAAAACAGAATTAAAAGATAATACAAATCTTTCCATGAACTTTTTGAAGTATCCTTGTACTAGTTTTATAATAGCAGAAAATGAAGATCTACAAAGGCAATAAAGTATGTGTTCCTTAAAAGCAGAAAAAAATTCACATTATCTTTCATCAAGATATACTAACAAATGGTTATCTTTCACAATACATATAAAATGCACAATGAATTACTTAAATTCATTGAAATTTATCATCATCACCCCATTTTCCCCTGCCCCCCAACCATGAGAATCTGCACTCACCCATTTCCATCAGCCAAGGTACCTCACCCACTTTAGGCCCAGAAGTACAAGGAGAAAGAGGAAGCCAGCAAGGACTACAGCCTCAACTCAGAATGCTTTCATATTTCACAGTCATTGAAATGGGAGATTTCGGTCACTGGGGAATGACGTTGGGATACTTAGAGACCTTACCTTTAGTTTAACACAGACGCATATATATTCACGTACACACACTATCTACTCCCACATTTACATCTTTGTTTACCTGCCTCCACTCCTTGCCTCCATTCCATTTTGAGAAAAAGCATGCTATTTTGGTTGCAGACAGTCTCCTCCTCTATGTTTGCATAGTATCAATAGTTTTAAACTCTTATGATATCGTTTACTTAACTGTAACTACCTCAAGTTTTATTCACTGTACCTGTTATAGAAAGTGTGTATCTTCCCTGCTTCCAGAAATAGTGGTGACACATTTTCACAGCACAATACAGTCATTCAACTAGCTTTTCTGGAATGCTCTGACTTTATGACAAAGATGCACATTCTCTTGATTTAGGGAATGCATTTCAGTACGGGAGGTGGGCAGACAATGATTTCTTAGTGATCTAAAAGAATATGACCTTCCTTCCTTTTTTATTAACCAAAGAAAGTCATTTAATGTGACAATACCTGCCATTTGTATAGAAGAAAGTATAATAAAATGCACTTAAATGGCTTTGTATGTCTCTTAAGATTTTACTTATGTCATCTGAAAATGCATAAATGTTTTCAGTACTTAGGTAATAAAAGTCTCATTTCTACTCTGGTGCAGCCTCATTTGCTCAGAGAACTGTTACTTTTTAAAGCAGCAATTACTTTTCAGTAGAGTCAGACCATATTAGAAAGCTAAAGGAAAATAGGGGCTGGCAGGTTGGCTCTGCTGGTTGGAATACAGTGTTATGGCACCAAGGTCAAGGGTTTGGATCCCTGTACCGGCCAGCTGCCCCCCCCCCCAAAAAAAATTTTAGCTCACTCGGTAGAGCGAGGTGCTGGTAACAAGGTCAAGATTTCAAATCCCCAAACCAGCCACCCACCCCAAAACAAAGAAAGCTACAGGAAATTAGAGCTGAAAGTAATCACATCCAACACTTTACAATTATTCCTACTAAGACTTTCTGCCTAGTCCTGGCACAGAAACCAATTTCTGGCACACAACTGTAGGCTGTGCGGACGGGGAACAGGGCCATGTTATGACCCTGCTAAGGATCAGAGAATGTTTAAGCTCAGTATCCTTTCTATAAATGACAAATTACCTGAATAACAAGGAAAATAATTCTACAGGCTTCGATTCATATTTTAGGGAGAAAAATAGCCTGGGAAATGTAAAAGGGAAGGGAGATAAAGGCTAGAGAAATGTAAATATAGTGTGTATTTATGCTTAAATTTCACACACAAACCAAAAGCCTGCAACAACATGAAACACTGGAACTAAAGGTCAAAACATGACCAGCTTAACAGTCTGCCGAGATGCTAACTTTCCCCTCATTAACAGCAGTTTCATAATCTTCTGTCTATAATATAATTACCAAAAAAATAATAAGTACACTAGTTTGCTTTCTGGCTTTCACTTTCACCCAATTTCACAATAAGAACACAAAGAAAGCATTTCACTTCAGATCTCACTTAAGTGGAAATAACACAAGGCAGATATTACAGCCGAACTGGAGATACACACGCACACATGCATACATGCATACGTGCATGCGCGTGCACACACACACCCCTTCTGATCCCACAGCTAGCTGGTTATGGTAGTTTTGTCCTCAAATCATTCTGCTACACTTAAAATCCCTAATAGGAATTGGCAGTTAAATGAGCAGATTCACAGAAAGCTGTATGGTCGACACATATAATCTACTTAGGTGATAATCACTGAAGAATAAATGTAAATCAAGGGTTGATAACAGTAAACTATAAACTGGGACAGGACTAGTATGACCAAAATATACATTAAACACTCAGGAGAGCAGGCTCAAAAACCCAGTCATGAGTCTTCAGCTAATTATGGTATTTTGGGGACTGCAGTGGGAAGGGGAGGGAAATGCAGTAGAATCCATGGTTTCCAGAGGAAGTTGCTTGAACGAAGTATATCTAGAAATGAGCACTGGCAGAGCCTGCTCTAGAGAATTTAATATACTTGGTATGTTGTGTTAATGATGCCCAGAAAGTTCCTGAAACCAAAATGAATCAGCATCCTCTAAAAATGAGGACCACTGCAGACGTCACCTTTATCTGTACTCTTGAAGCCAATTTGGATGATAAGCCCAGGGGTCCATTCTTATAAGATTTCTAAGGTCCCTCCAGCTGTAAAATGCTATGTTTCTATATCTTAGGGAATTAGCATGACAATGTGGGAAGAATAATGTACCAGCATAAAGCACTTTGCCTTGAGTCCTGATTCTGCCACTAATTGGGCATTTTATTTTTAACTGTCAAAAGTATTCACCAAAAGACCTGTAACATTCTCGATTCTATGGCTGCCCATTC